AGACAACTTCTTTGTTGCAGTAGAAGTTGCGACGTTTCGGTGTAGATCCTAACACCGTTATCAAGCAAATGATACACAACATTTGCACAAGGAGAAATATATACATGGCGGGTATTGGTTTATACAATAGTTTAGTTTTACGCCGCTTTTAGCAATATTCCAGCAACATCACGGCGGAGGACACCAGAAATGGGCTTCACACATTGTACCCATGTGGGGATTCGAACCCGGGTCTTCGGCGTGACGAGCCAGCGCTTTAACCACTAGGCTACCCCACCGCCCCTTATACAATAGAAGAGGTTGATGTACAGTGTGTTGACATGGGACTTGTTGTGATAGAAATGATTGAAGCCAGTAGACAAAGGGTGGGTTATTCTTGTTTAGGCTTGATTAGTTGATCGTAAGCCGTGGGGATGTAATAACCTTGATCTCTGTTGATTGCCGGGTTGAGTCGTTTGATGTTGATTTCAGTTACACTGAACGTGACCTATTTGAACGTGACTTTCGAGAAGTTTTAGTAACCTTAAAATATTTATAGACTATGATATGAATATAAATTTACAAGAACATTCTTGCAAGTATCAGGGAGACTATATAACGATTATCCATGCAAGTATGTACTAGTATTTTATTGTATCCGCATAGTGTGCTATTGACACAGCCTTTGTAATTATATTTCTATTATACATGTCTTAAATGGGCACTTGGCTTATTGACAATTCAGTTTTCTTAAAAAATACATATCGTGTATAAACCAGACGTTACCCAATACAAATTTTACCTTTGAAAACGGTAAATTTTATTTCGTTCCCTAAACTCAGAATTATTGTTACCGCTAAACAGGGTGTAGAAATATAACCCCGACACTTCACACATTAACACAAAAGAAAGAGAATCTTGAAAATTTGATTTCACCAAAAAACGACAAAGGTTATCGAGCATTTACAAGCTTGGAACTAGTGAACGAATCACTGCAACTTATTTTTCAACTTTATAATCTGAATTTGCATCTGTAAGTCCGTACCGAAAGGTATCCGAATCTGCAAAGTTTGTGACCTTTAAGATCCAAGACAACTACGATACTCAAATGCCATGTCTTGTCTGTTTAATTATGAGCCACCACATAGGTGTTTACTTTCTTTTGCCTTTCAGTATAGACCAGAGTGATTCCATCATGTTCTAACTACATCGAAACACATCAAATTAGGTTCCCCGAAACTACACAGCGCCATTGATGTGGTCCTCTTCCGCTGATAACCACAAACTTCCGTTTGGAAAATACTTATACTTAAAATTCTTTCCCGGGTTATTGATAATTTTGTTTATGTGCTTATTTTTTTATTTTGTGCTTGTGCGCGTTCCATAGACTCTTCTCACAAACAGGAAGCATCGCTAAGCTTACGCTGCCTGAATGACAACAAACACATAGACAACGAAGCGTGAAACCAGCCTTAGAGTGAGTGAGTTTAGGTTTACACCGCACTCAGCAATATTCCAGACACATGGCGGCGGTCTGTAAATAATCGAGTCTGGACCAGACAATCCAGTGATCAACAGCATGAGCATCGATCTGCGCAATTGGGAACCGATGACATGTGTCAACCAAGCCAGCGAGCCTGACCACCCGATCCCGTTAGTCGCCTCTTACGACAAGCATGGGTTGTTGAAGGCCAATTCTAACCCAGATCTTCACGGGTCGCAGATGCTAAGAGTAGTCCCACTTGAAGACAAACACGCTTCCTCTGTTTCCATTTTCCGACGGTTTCTTCAGTTCTTATAATGTAGCAGATAGAAGCACTGACAACAGGTACTGTGTTACAACCCTCAAATGTCGCGCGTCAGTGAGGACTACCATTTGATATTTACTTCAGTCCTCAGCAGAATTTACTAGTCTCGATCTAGCGGACTAGCGTGAATTTCGGCTACAAAAGGCTTCTAAAGGTGAACGAAAGAATGGGTATTGAGTGTTAAAACCGACTACACATTATAGACAAATCCTGTATTGGTTGCACGCCGCATCAAGATTGAGAATGGCCCATCATCGACTGGCGCTACTTCATCAGCGTCGGGAGCGACAGCTGTATCTTGTACCGACAATCCGCGAATAGCTATTAGCACGCGCGTGTCTCACCAATGTGTAATTACTCCGATATTCGACCGTCAATGGTCAGGTTGTAATGACCAGTTAATGACACGGGGAATAATGAGGTCGAAAAATGTAATTTTGTATGAAAATTATAAATACCTTGTACCAATATGGTAATACATCGAAACTCAACACGATATAGAAACACAAGCAATTTCATAAACAACATTATAAAAACATCTTAGGTGCAATAAAAGCAAAGGGTGGTTTTATATCAAATACGATCAATGAATGGTTACTTGAAGAGTTGGTGGGGTAGCCTAGTGGGTATAGCGTTTGTTCGTTACGCCGAAGACCCGGGTTCGATTCCCCACATGGGTACAATGTGTGAGACTCATTTCTGGTTTCCCCCGCCATGATGTTGCTGGAATATTGCTAAAAGCGGCGTCAAACTAAACTCACTCACTTGAAGAAGGGAAGAAGGACGGAGGTCGGGGGTCGGGTATATATGAGTGAGTGAGTGAAGAAGCGCGTAAGAGAGATATATCTTGTAGTCAATGTTAGGCGGATGTATTTGTCTCTCAATTATGGGCTGTAAAGGGCTGATAACCTATCCTCACCTTGTCTCCATCCCCTGACCGTAAATCAGCTTCATACATGTATGTAATTACTGGTCCAGTAGATAGTTTGTCGGCGTTGTCCAAGTCGCTGAAGGGAAACCAGCAATGGTGCTCAAAATAAATGTATTTGGAGGAGTTGAACACATACTCTCTTTGTCTGCCGACTCGGAGGATGGATACACAATTTCAGTTAATGATTCACGGCCACACACACAGGCCATTAGACGAACGCAAAGTCTCTGAAATTATATAAACCATTCAAATTGAAACGGAGCACCTTTGGGTAAGACATGCTGCTCCACATTTAAAACAACACTTGTGAATCTGTTTCTCGTCATTTCAACACACACAATTTGCAAGAGATGAGCACATCATTGATTTTGTGCAGTGCGAGGCATACGCACGTTTAGAAATACGACAGAAACGTGATTATTTTGTTGATCCAGCACACACATAGGTATTGTACTACACAACATTTATAAAACATTTCTTTTGAAGAATTAGTTGGATACCTACAGATTTAGAACCAATGTTGTTGTTTTTTCTCGAAAAGCACGTGGGAAGCTGCGCAAAGGAAATTAGAAAGTTTTCCTGGTGGGGAATGTGATTATAGAGCCCAGCGGCCCGGACACGTGACTTCACATAGTCGATTACTAGTAAACAGCGAGGACTTTTGAGCGTTGGTATCCGGTCACTGTCCGGCTCTAATCCATGGTCCCCACCCCACCAGTCAGTTGATATTCCACCCAGGTCTCCAGATACACATTCCATCCCAATCCCGTGATCGGTGTTCTGGCCCCAGACCAACAAGGCCCTAGATTCATGTTTCACCTCAGACCCTTGGTAGATGATCTACCCTAGGTCCAAGATCGGTGTATCGGTGCCCCACCTTAGACCTTGATCAATGTTCCACTTCCTCCATGCTATACCCAAGGCCCAAGGACGATGTATGTGTGCCCCACCGGGACTTTGATCAATGTTCTACCCTAGGTCCCACTCCCAGACCAATTTCCTAACAAGGCCCTAGATTCATGGCCTTGATAGATGCTATACCCCAGGCTCTAGGACGATGTATGTGTGTCCCACCAAGACCTTGATCAATGTTCCACTTCCGGTCCCAGACCAACGCCCCAACAAGGCCCTAGATTCATGGCCTTCATAGATGATAAACCCCAAGCACTAGGACGATGTATGTGTGCCCCACCAAGTCCTTGATCAATGTTCTACCCTAGGTCCCAGACCAACGTCCTAACAAGGCCCTAGATTCACGGCCTTGATAGATGCTATACCCCAGGCCCTAGGACGATGTATGTGTGTCCCACCAAGACCTTGATCAATGTTCTACCCTAGGTCCCAGACCAACGTCCTAACAAGGCCCTAGATTCATGGCCTTCATAGATGCTATACCCCAGGCACTAGGACGATGTATGTGTGCCCCACCTTAGACCTTGATCAATGTTCTACCCTAGGTCCCAGACCAACGTCCTAACAAGGCCCTAGATTCATGGCCTTCATAGATGCTATACCCCAGGCACTAGGACGATGTATGTGTGCCCCACCTTAGACCTTGATCAATGTTCTACCCTAGGTCCCAGACCAACGTCCTAACACGGCCCTAGATTCATGGCCTTGATAGATGCTAGGACGATGTATGTGTGCCCCACCAAGACCTTGATAAATGTTCTACCCTAAGTCCCAGACCAACGTCCTAACAAGGCCCTAGATTCACGGCCTTGATAGATGCTATACCCCAGGCCCAAGGACGATTTATCCGTGTCCCACCAAGACCTTGATCAATGTTCCAAGTCAGGCCCACCCCCTCCGAGGCCCAAGATCGATAGTCAACACAGGCCTGTTATCGATGTTCCACCTGAAGCCATATATCTATTTTATTGTGAGTGTTTATATGTGTCCGCATATCTGATGCGGCAAAACAAATCCCCAAGGAAAATGGTCGTATCTTGTCATGCCCAATAACCGCGTTGCGAAGGCATATAGATGGCTCTATATTACAGGTTTACCCTACACCTTTTACTACCGCTTCGGAACCGTTCCCTTTTCCAATCAAGCAATTAATCGATTTTCTTCAGCACATTAAAATCAACTGATAGTGTTTTATTGAAGCACATGCAGTATCAAAGATCTGTCAGCTCTAAACGGTCCCGTCCACAACGGCGTTTACGTCTCAACCCGTGTATACGTGTGCGGCAGGACGAAGCAGCTCCGCACGCAACGCGCTTTTGTCCGCTTTCTGAGCGGATCTTTCTATATATAGGTAAAAGCCTGAGACTCCAAGATGTAAAATGCCGAGCAAGTTCTTTCTGCAAAATACCCCACCTCTACCGACAAATTGGATGAACTGTTGAAATCGGACAGTCCATAGGGGTAAATTGCCGCTAATTTGTCTTCGATCGTCAAAAATAGTCTCGTCTACGCTCTCAGATGAACAGGTGTGTTGATGGAGCGCCGCCCGGAGCTGTAACAGGAGCATTAACACAGCAGTGTGGAGAAGTTGGACTGTTGGTGAGATGGACTCCCTACATGTCGCCAGGTTGGGAGCAAGATATGGATGAAGCCCATTGAACACGGTGGCGGAGCTACTACCAGTGTTGTCATCACGTGTGCTAATGTTCTACGTCTTGTCAGAAATTATTTCCTCCACTCGTGTTAAGGTGGCTTATTGGCAACGAAGGATCGATGGGGCATCTCGTCTGATGCTCTCTGTGATCCCGTGACGTTCTCGGCGTCCTTACCTTCACGGGGAGAGACTTAGTTGGGATTTGTTGCTTTGGGAAGAGGCGTTATGTTCGTGCACACAGACAGACGGACAACAACACACCTGGAGTCGTTCTGACTGGATGCACAATGACTCATTATATAAAGGCACTGTCGGCGTTTGTCTTAGAACTTTGGTTTAGAAAACGGACGTTTTGAACTATGGATTGACATACGTAATACAAGCCTTATGTCTACTTGGAAATGGCAATGTTGGCCTTTACCATTAATTGCGTAGATTTTATGGTACGTGAGAGTTTGAACAGACCTGCGTCTGTTTAACGTACAACCCGCGCAGAGAACACGGTTCCTCATTTTTCTGTTTGGTACCAGTCTGTGGATAGACAAGCTATGACATCTACTGCCAGTGCTTCCGAACCCTCATCAGCGTGGGAAGGTAAGTTCATATCGCACCAAGTTAAAGTTCAGGGTTAAAAGATAACTTCTTACTTATATACGTGCTCTGCTACAGATCCACATCATTTATGTATGCATGTGCTCTATGGAATGGAAACTGTAGAAGGAGATGGTGTCGGATTGTAGTATGTTATAGTTTGTGTACATGCATCATATTGACAACTGCATTCATTTGATGAGTCTGTTAGTGGCGCCCCTTACCGAACAAAATACAGGCGTGTTAGCTGTCCTTTGGATTGTATGGTTTTGGTGTAACCTACTGGAGAATTTTTATTTTTCAAACAGGGCGAATAGACTAATGACAACAGCATGGTATTAGAGACAGGAAACACATATAATTCACCAGAACAGACCAGTGTTTGACCAGTTTATGACCATGACACCGACAATCGATGTGACATTGTCATGAAAGTAGGTTGCTTATGCAATACATCTTGACGTAGAACACGTAATCTTCCATTCTCCATTCCACTGGGATATTTCCAAACTGTTTTCCGAACTGTACTCCCGCCAAAGCTCACTGATGTAGAGTTACAGTTTTGTACCTTACTTGTTGTCGACGGAGTGCCACTTTGTCACAATGTACACGGTTTGGTTATTTAACAAAACCACTTGATGCTTTCCAGTTTGTAACTAGAATGACATGTTCAATGTGAACTTACATACCCACAAATACCACAGTTACGTTACGGAATGTGTTGCTTCAGTTATCAGGGAAGTCCTCACAATCTCTCCTTCAAAATAGATACATTTAATGTCAGAAACTGTGTGTAAATAGAGGCAGAGTTTCATGAACTAGTATTATAAAATTCAAATGGTAAACGTGAAGCAAAGTGTCCCTAGATTCATTTTATGTGTTATAATATTTGAGGCGGTTGTCCAGAGACGCGACAATTCACAGTGCAGAGCTGCGTCCTTTAGGCAATCCAGAAACCTGTGTGTATTGGGGGACGGTGGGGTAGCCTAGTGGTTAAAGCGTCCGCTCGTCACACCGAAGACCCGGGTTTGATATGGGTACAGTGTGTGAAGCCACTTCTGGTGTCCCATGCCGTGATATTGTTGGAATATTGCTAAAAGCGGCGTAAAACCATACTCACTCACTATGTGTATCGGTTCGAATCCCGGTTTGTGCTAATTGTGCAGCTGCGTTTGCGTTTCTGCATCATACTCCTACTGGCGGACCCGAGAAGGTCCTGGTTAGAATTGGTTTTCAGCACCCCATGCTTGTCCTAAGAGGCGACTAACGGCTCGCTGACTTGGTTGACAGATGTCATCGTATCCCAACCACGTAGATCCCAGCCATATAGCTGGAATATTGCTGAGTGTGGAGTTAACAAGAAACCATCGAACCACCATTATTAGTGGGTTTCAACCTGTGAAGGTCCGGGTTAGAACTGATCTTCAGTAATCCATGATTGTCGTAATTTTTTAAGAGACGACTAACGGGATCGGGTGGTCAGGCTCGCTGACTTGGTTGACACATATCATCGGTTCCCATTTGCGCAGATCGATGCTCATGCTGTTGATCACTGGCTTGTCTGGTCCAGACTCGATTATTTACAGACCGCCGTCATATAGCTGGAATATTGCTAAGTGCGGCGAAAAACTAAACTCACTCACTCAGTGGGTTTCACCAAAACGGTACACATCTGAGACCTGCGCCACTATCGACTTCCCTCCACTAGTGTAAATGGAATTCTGTTAAAACAGGCATTGAACCCGACTCAATATCTCACCCAAGATCAACACCATGTTGCGCTTCTCGTGGTATAGCCAGACTGTTGGTATATGAGAGATACCTAGTTTTGTTGCATTGCTTAAACTTGTATGTGTTTTGTTGAGAACATTCAGCCAACAGGTACGATAAAAGACGAATTGTCATTCATTCAATAAAAGCATTGGGAGTTTTGCTGGTGTACATTTGTCAGTCCTGGCTGTCGGGATGACCTGTTGTGATAGGCATTAGGTATTAGCGCATCGTTGTATTGAATTATTCTCTTACACCATTTCAACGTTATTATATATCTATGACACATGATAGCCACTCCCCCCCCGGACCCTCATGGAATGCAGGCAACAAGACAAACATATGGTCAATTACCAGAAGACACCTATACATACATCTTCCTCAGTACATTTGTGTACACATTTACTCCGGGGCACCTACACATTACATTTACTTCGGGGCACCTACACATTACATTTACTCACACACACCTGCACATTATATTTACTCACACACACCTGCACATTATATTTACTCACACACACCTGCACATTATATTTACTCACACACACCTGCACATTACATTTACTCACACACACCTACACATTACATTTACTCACACACACCTGCACATTACATTTACTCACACACACCTACACATTACATTTACTCACACACACCTACACATTACATTTACTCACACACACCTACACATTACATTTACTCAGAGACACCTGCACATACATTTACTCACAGACACCTGCACATTACATTTACTCACACACACCTGCACATTACATTTACTCACACACACCTACACATTACATTTACTCACACACACCTACACATTACATTTACTCACACACACCTACACATTACATTTACTCACACACACATACACATTACATTTACTCACACACACCTGCACATACATTTACTCAGAGACACCTGCACATACATTTACTCAGTGACACCTGCACATGCATTTACTCAGTGACACCTGCACATACATTTACTCAGTGACACCTGCACATACATTTACTCAGTGACACCTGCATACAGTTAATCAGAGACACCTACACACAAATTTACTCAGAGGCACCTGTACATTACATTTACTCAGTGACACCTGCACATACATTTACTCAGAGACACCTGCACATACATTTACTCAGAGACACCTGCACATACATTTACTCAGAGACACCTGCACATACATTTACTCAGAGACACCTGCTCATACATTTACTCAGAGACACCTGCACATACATTTACTCAGAGACACCTGCACATACATTTACTCAGTGACACTTGCACATACATTTACTCAGTGACACCTGCACATACATTTACTCAGAGACACCTGCACATACATTTACTCAGAGACACCTGCATACAGTTAATCAGAGACACCTACACACAAATTTACTCAGAGGCACCTGCACATACATTTACTCAGAGACACCTGCACATACATTTACTCAGAGGCACCTGCTCATAAATTTACTCAGTGACACCTGCACATACATTTACTCAGTGACACCTGCACATACATTTACTCAGAGACACCTGCACATACATTTACTCAGTGACACCTGCACATACATTTACTCAGAGACACTTGCACATACATTTACTCAGAGACACCTGCACATACATTTACTCAGAGACACCTGCACATACATTTACTCAGAGACACCTGCACATACATTTACTCAGAGACACCTGCACATTACATTTACTCAGAGACACCTGCACATACATTTACTCAGTGACACCTGCACATACATTTACTCAGAGACACCTGCACATTACATTTACTCAGAGACACCTGCACATACATTTACTCAGAGACACTTGCACATACATTTACTCAGAGACACCTGCATACAGTTAATCAGAGACACCTACACACAAATTTACTCAGACACACCTGCACATACATTTACTCAGAGACACCTGCACATACATTAACTCAGAGACACCTGCACATACATTTACTCAGAGACACCTGCACATACATTTACTCAGAGACACCTGCACATACATTTACTCAGAGACACCTGCACATACATTTACTCAGAGACACCTGCACATACATTTACTCAGAGACACCTGCACATACATTTACTCAGAGACACCTGCACATACATTTACTCAGTGACACTTGCACATACATTTACTCAGACACACCTGCACATACATTTACTCAGACACCTGCACATACATTTACTCAGAGGCACCTGCACATACATTTACTCAGACACCTGCACATACATTTACTCAGTGACACCTGCACATACATTTACTCAGAGGCACCTGCACATACATTTACTCAGAGACACCTGCACATACATTTACTCAGAGACACCTGCACATACATTTACTCAGAGACACCTGCACATACATTTACTCAGTGACACTTGCACATACATTTACTCAGAGACACCTGCTCATACATTTACTCAGAGACACCTGCTCATACATTTACTCAGAGACACCTGCTCATACATTTACTCAGAGACACCTGCACATACATTTACTCAGAGACACCTGCACATACATTTACTCAGAGACACCTGCACATATCTTTACTCAGAGACACCTGCACATACATTTACTCAGAGACACCTGCTCATACATTTACCACTAGACACACGTGAACGTATTTGTCACCATACATCTGCACATTTGTACCTGGAAACAGCAAGCGTACTCATCATAACTCTCATTAGCAAAAGTAACTGTAAACAGTCCATCGTTCTTTAAATCCGATATGAGCCAACTTGTATACTACTCCGATTGGCACACAGAGTCTTGGCTCGAACACCGGGCGCCATCACTGCCTTTACGTTTGGGAGGAATGAATTAGCTGTCATTTTAATTTGGTGTGGTACAAGATAGTTATGCATTAGAGATCTTCGGCACATGATTTATAGTGTATATATTGATATGAAAAAAAACGGAGATTATTCGATCAGCTTATCGAAGTCGACGACTTTAATCTGTATTATCACGATCCTTACAATATGGTCTGAACGATCTATAACGCATCACAGTGTGTTGTAAAACAGGATGCATTCTTCCGGTTATACAAATGAAGACAACACGACCTCGGACAAAAGCTCCATTGCGTCACGTTACATCAGTATGTACTCTTCAAAACATTACGGAATACTCATAAATGTGGGGAAATTGTTAGGGATTTTAGATTTTAGTAACAGTGTCATGATAATGGCGAACTGGGAACATAT